GTTCAAGGCCAAAAATCCCCTACCGAGGATTTTAGTGTCATGATAGGGCTCCCTTCTGTTTCTCAGAGAAGCCCGAAACCAATTTTCCCCGGTCTGCTCCAAATAATACCCGGTCGGGTATTTTTGCCCATGGCTAGGTAATTTGCTGTTCTAGGTCCCCTATCTTTGATTCTTCGTTTCTCCCTCGTTCGGACTCGAAATCAGGTGCCGTTTGATCCCAGATGCTCTTAGTCTCGTCCTCTTTATTATCGTGACAAGATTACATGATTATATGGTCAAAAAATGAGGTAGAAATCCATTCTTCTTCAAGCCATACCCGAGTTTCTTCCCCGAGTCGCCAATTGATGTCCGATTGACTTGAAACTTGTGCCTACGCTTCACTTTATGTGCTAGGACCTAAAATGTGACAAAGGAACACAACCTAGCGTAAAATAGGCCAAAGAAGCGATAATGCAAGCTTAAATGATCAAAAAACAAATGGGGAAAACATGTGCAAAAATCGAGTCATCACGTGTTCTATGGATGATTTGCTTGTGATTGTGTGCAACCTATTGTGATGATTGAGACTTGTCTTAGGTTTGTGCATAGGTTCATTTCTCATGTATTTATGAACTGATAGATGGTCTGAATCGATTACTCGCTTTTCACAGTTGCCTATGCATCAAGTTGAGGGAATTAGAACGAATGATTGAGCACGTAGGTAGCCATGTGAGACTTGTTCCATTCATTTCCTTCTTGTGCGATAGATCCCCCATTTACATGATGTGTAGCATTCACGTTGATGCCATCAAGGAAGACGGAGGCATAGGTTTAGTCCACGACCCAAAATTTGACTTTCCCGATTCCATTATCTCCTAGTAAACCCTTTTGAGCCGTGTGTCTAAGGTTCGTTCTCGTGTTAGGTAGCTCTTGCTACTTGAGCGTGATTGATTTAGATAGAACATCCCTACTTTATTTGTGTCCACACCGTATCGAGTCACCCTTGTCTTTGGAAGCTCAATTCATACCATTTGAGCTTAAATTAGGTTCCACATGAGTTTTTTGTGTATGATTTTGCTAAGAAGTGAAGTGAGTGTGCAGGTAGTTCGTAAAAGTGAACATTTCTCCTTAAGTTAAAAAATGTGGCATGTTTTTAGCTCTTTATATCCCTCAAAGAAAAGGAAAGAAAAAGAAATCAATAAAAGTGCAAAGAAGAAAAGAGAAGCCACCAAAAATATAAATAATATTGAACATGCTCTTAGAAGTTTTTCTTAGCATGTAAGCTACAGAAACACATACATGTTGTTGACCTCTACACTCTTGTTCTTGAAATTGATTAGCAAATCTAGAAAGAAAGTATGTATGACTTTGTTTGGTGAGTGGTTGTGGTTTGGAATTGAGGGAAGTGTGGTTTTTGGCCGTTGTTAGTGGTCATTGTTTGTTGAGCAAGGTTCTTGTCAAAACCATAGAACCTTTTGTTGGTTTTAGGTTGAAGATGTGGAACCTCATATTGTGTTTGCCACCACCCAAATAGCCTTTTCCCCATGCCCTAGACCCTAGCCAGTTATTTGAACATATGTCTAAGACCTCCAGACAAGCTAGCAACGACACCCATCTTGTGAGCTCTAACATATAGAGGCTACCATTGGTATAGAGACGTTAGAATTGAGCATGAATATGCACATCTTTTGCATCAAATGGTCCTTACCCCAGCGGTCGAGAGTGAGCGATTCTTTTTCATGTTTTGTTCATTTCTTTTACGCCGGTGAGGACCTAGGTTGCTCGATCGTTCGTTCCTATTATGTGATCTTCATGCATGAGTAACTGTGATTGGTGAGTCGTCGAGGCATATTGTGTGTTGGTTCATGAATAATGTGAGAACTCTTCATTTGCACAATCTTAATATAGTTGAATGCCCCTGAGAAACATAGATACGTAAATAAACAGGTAGTGAAGTTACAAGTCGAATTTTTTGCTATTTTGGAAACTAGAGTATTAAAGCATAATGCTAATGATATAAGGAGTAAACATTTTAGTAGTTGTAAGAAGCTAGATAATTATAAATATTCTCCTTCTGGTCGGGTTTGCTTGTTCAGGAAACCTCATTTGGCAGTTAGTGAAGTTGGTATGGGGGGAACATTTTATTAGTGTTCGTATTCAGTCTGGCATAGAATCATGCCTTGTTACTGCAGTTTATAGCCCAAATAAAGTACAGGATAGGGCAAAGGTGTATGCTGAGTTGAGACAGTTGGGAGTGGTTAGTGAGCCTGGAATTTGGATAGGGGACTTCAATGCTACTGTTGAAGATAGTGAAGCCTCAAATCATCCTAGTGTTAATCAGAGTATGGAAGATTTTAGTTGCTGGATTCAAGATATAAGCTTACAGATCATTAACCATTGGGTTCGTGATATACTTGGTGGAACAAGCAGGTTAATAATCCAATTGCAAGGACGATTGATAGGGCCCGGGTTACTGAGAAGTGGTTGGATTTGTTCCCAAATAGTCTGGTGCAGACTATTGCTCCTAGAGTGTGAAGTCATTGTGGTTTGTTTGTGCAAACTGAATCTAGACTTACTTCATTGCCAAAGCCTTTTAAGTTATTATTTTGGAGGCAATATCCTCAATATGAAGAGATGTTGAGAGAGGCATGGAAACTAGAGGCTACTAGGGAGCCTTATCGAATATTATATCGAAAACTGGGAGAGCTTCAGAGAAGACTCAAAAGTCTGAATAAGAGTGTCTATTTTGATCTGTCAGTTCGAACAAGGGAAGCAAAAGCAGTGTTGGAGATTTTGCAGCGTTTTCTACTTTCTGATCCCTCCGAAGTTAACTCATAGGTTGTACTTGAGCAGGAGAAAATATGTAGGGACCTACAGAGTGCTGAGGAGTATTTTATAGGCAAAAGTCAAGGGTCCAGTGGATCACTAGGGGGATGCTAATACTGGGTTTTTTCATGGTATGGTTAAGGCCAGGAATCACAAATTGACTATTTAGAAATTGCTAACTGAGACTGGGGAAGTAGTAACTGATGTGAAAAAATGAATGCAGTTGTAGTGTACTTTTACAAAGGGCTATTGGGAAGTGCGGACATCTCTATTCAGCTGCCCCCTTGTGTGTTCTTTGAGGATCTATTGTGTATGAAAATTACTGAGGAAGATGCTGCTTTACTAACCACTCCAGTTACTAGGACAAAAATTGAAAAGGTCTTCTTTGGGATGAGTAATGACAAAGCACCAGGGACAGATGGATACATTGCAGAATTTTTTAAGCTGGACTAGGAGGTTGTGGGGACTGAGGTAGAGAACACAGTGCTGGAGTTCTTTAAAACTGGAGTTATGCCTCGACAGGTAAATTCAACAGTTATCTCACTTATTCCCAAAATTAAAATTGTTAAACGAATGAAAGACTTTAGGAATGTATCTTGTTGCAACGTGATCTATAAGGGCATCTCTAAGCTATTATCTAATAGGCTGTCATTGGTTTTACCATTACTAATTAGCAGAAGTCAGTCTGCTTTTGTCAAGGGTTGTCTAATCAGTGATAATATACTAACGACCACAGAGCTAGTAAAGGACTATAATAGAAGTAGAATCTCTCCTAGGTGTGCACTCAAAATTGATCTAATGAAATCCTTTGACTAAGTTGATTGGTTGTTTCTGTTTAAGGTTATGAGGGCTATGGGTATGCCAGACAATTTTGTTAAACTGGTTGAGTCGTGTGTGCAGTCTCCTATGCTTAGGATTTCATTCAACGGAGGATTATGTGGCTATTTCCCTGCAGCTAAAGGATTGAGACAGGGGGATCCACTATCCCCCTATCTCTTCACCCTCGTTAAACTGGAGTTATGCTTAGTGTTTTAATGTCTGTTGAATAGAGTTGTCAGGAGTAATCAGATCCCATTTCACCCTCGTTGTAATAGTTTGGAAATTACACACCTATGTTTTGCAGATGATCTGCTAGTATTCTCTAATGGATCACCCATGGCATTGGCTGGTGTACCACCCCACCCTAAAACTCATAGGTCGAACCACTAGTTCGCCCGCACAGCGGAAAATACTAACGAGGTTTACGTATTAGCTCTTCATTTAATACATATGTATCTTTCCTTTCCTAAACATAACTGAAGGTGAACATTTATGTATTTCAAATCTAAGTCATTTATTAATATCCAATCTCGTTCATTAGCCCGAAACATCATATAACATCCAAATCCAAACACTTGTTCTTTGAAACTCAAATCTTCCTGTTACATACTTTGGTAAAATCCATAAATCATAATATCTCCATCGATCAAACTTAATGGAATCAAACCCAACATAATACATGTTTGTGATACTTGTTTTAAAATACGAAACATAGGTAAAAACTCTCCTCCGACTGATCGTCCACTACCTCATGATGGGGTAGAAGTTGCACAGCTCCAGCGTCCAAGCTCAGTTCCTCTGTTGCGGATCTGAACACAAAAAGGGAGGGGGTCAGCTAACTAATTTAGCTGAGGTGTGGCGATGTTTCTCCTACATGGCGAAGTCTATGGATATCTTTTCCACGTCAATCGATTAACCACCTAATCATGGGATCTAGGTTGAAGTCTCAACCTAATATAATTCTCAACCTAGCATCCAATATGCAAATAAACATACAAGTGCAATGCATTTCCATTTTATTAATTTGGGCGCCAAGGTCACCATACATCCACCCCTGCTCGAGCCTCATCATCTCAGTGGTTTTATCATAAACCACAATCATATCTCTCTGGCCACTGGCCTCATCGATCCTAATGATCATCATTAAAAATATCAAATGGTTGGGGGTAAATAAAGGCGCTTTCTAAGTCTATGTGATTAATATGAACATCATATAAAATCATCATAATCTCAATATAATAATCATCCATCTCAATCGATCTTGGTGTAATTACCAAGTCTATGTAATAGGGTAATTTGTACATATCATGCATACTAAATTCATCAAATCATCCACTCAATTATCGAGTATAAATTCATTCGCAAACATTATCGTTATCGTACATTCAACGTATTAGGTGGACGGTTTGAATCCTCGTACATGGTTCGTTAACCATTTAATCGGTGATAATCACCGAGTAATTTGAATGGCGGACCCACCGTGGTAAAACTCGAATGAGTGACACTACTCGTAGTACACTTCTTACAACCATATTCCCAAAAGATTTCACTGAGTGAATTCCCAGGTAAGTTGACGAGTACCACGAAGGTCTCGATTAAAAACCACTAGCCTAGACAGAATTCTCCCATGGTAGCTGTCCATTATTCAAATTTTCACAAATCCGTTTGTGGTTTAATAATTATCCCAAGTAATCGTATTAGGATAATTATTCAATCGCAGGCGTAATTTCACATAACTCATTGCATGATATCACGTCATGAATTATTGAAGTAATAACAACGAAGTCACAAGGAATTTCACGATTCATAGGGATCAATTACAAAGTTGTAAATTCCAAATACTCGATTATGAATAATCCAATTCTACTCGAGTATCAAAATCGTAATAACGACATTCTCCATTATATCTTCGTTAAATCCTCAGCTGTGTTCCAATATTAAACACATAGCACGTAGTAAAACACCGTCTATTCACCGCAGGGTCCACACACCTTATTTATGACGTAAATCAACTCTGCACAGCTGCTGTAAAAATTCCAATACTCCTTGATAAAATTCTTCTCATCTCTACGATCCTGTAGGCGAAAACGCTTCATCGTTTGGACGTCAAACGAACGAATTACATCCAAAATACGAATTTTGTCAGTTCTTGAAATTCCAAGTACTGTATATGAAATTTTCCAGTCAAAATGGTCGTTGACCCTTCCTATGGAAAATCCGCGAGGTTCATTTCTCCCTCGTCCGATGTCGAAAATTGATTCCGTCAAAACGTGCATGCTCCTAGGATCACCCTCTTCGCAACGCTACCAACCACTTGAAGAATGGTTGAGGTCGGAGTTGACGTCGTCGACGTCACGAGATTCCGACGAAACTCCGGCGAGGCTCCGACAAGGCTTCAACGATGCTTCTGGCTTCGTGGGAGACATCCCCTGACCCTTATGGCGACCTCCCAAACACCATAACCCTCAACACTCTTATTGATCTATCTCTCCCTTTTTTTTCCTTGTGTTGAGCTTCTTTCTCACTATATATAGCATTCCGGTGACGTATTTATTCAATGGAAGATCATACAGTTGGGAGGCATTAATTTCAAATTCAGTCCACTGTGCTAGTACAGCTCATGGAACGGTGGATTTTGTGATTATATATACAAGACATATATGCTAGAGGATGTGGTCCTCTTTTTTCCTTACGTTTGCATATATAAAAAATGATGTTGCTGTCCATTTGCTATTAACCCATAATGGGTTCATCAATTTGTGGTTAGAGACCACGTACAGGGAACTTCGTTCCTTTCTTCAGAATCTGATCTCATCTGATATTCAATAATTACATGTACTATGAGACTTATGCACAAATAGTGTGTAGCCCAACTGGTAAATTGTGATGATTTCCTAGTTTTGGTCTCTAGTTCTAACCTTGAACAAGACAATATTTTTTTTACTCTTTTCATGTTAGAGGTCACTTCCACCATTTAGATCATAACTCTTTTGTTTGGCATTAGAATCTATCCTCGTTTGAACTCACGCGTTCGTATTCTCGCCCTCTACCATACTCCCTTCACTCCATATTTGTTCTCTAGATGTTTCAAGTCTTTAATTGACGAGTACTCATAGTTCTTCCAAACCGGTAGAATTCATTCCAACATTGTTGGTGTTCATTGTTCCAATGTCGAACCGGTTTGATGTGAGATTTAACACAGATACGGGATGTTACAACTCTCCCCTCCTTAATTTGATTTCGTCCCCGAAATCAAATAGTATAATAAAAGTCTCTTATGACTTATTCAGAAATTCAATACATTATCGACACTGTCGATTGAATACAACAAGCATTAGTTGGGACGCATATTCGTAGAGTACTAGAGTATACTTCGACTAACTTAAGGTATTTCTTCATCATACTTTCTTCAGTTTCCCAAGTTGCTGCTTCTCCTTCGTGGTTTCTCCAAATGAATTTAAGCATCGGAATGCGCTTGTTCCTTAGAACTCGTATTTGTTGGTCAAAGATACTCACTGGCCTCTCTTCGTAGGTCAAGTCGGGTTCTAGGACCACATCTTCTTGTTGTATGACATGAGAGGGATCCATGTGATACTTCTTAAACATACTCATATGAAAAACATTGTGAATTTTCTCCAACTCTGTAGGTAACTCCAGTTTGTAAGCTACCGACCCAATCTTGCCAATAATGTCATAAGGGCCGATGTAACGAGGTGCCAACTTGCCCTTCTTTCCAAACCTCATTAATCCCTTCCATAGTGTTACCTTTCAAAACACCTTTTCTCCCACATCATAGCTTACTTCTCGAGCTCTCCCATCGGCATAAAGTTTCTTGCGATCTTGAGCTACTCGTAGTCTCTCTTTTATCACTTTGACCTTATCCGTAGTTTCTTAAATCATTTATGTTTCAGAAAGAACTCGATTGCCCTCTATATCCCAGCATAGAGGTGTTCGGTACTTCCTGCCATAACGTGCTTCAAAAGTAGCAGCCTGAATACTACTGTGGTATGAGTTATTTTAAGCAAACTGTACCATCAGTAGTAACTCGGTCCAAGTTCCTTCTACTTCCATCATGCAAGTTCATAATAGTTCCCCTAGAGTTAAGATCGTTCTTTCCGATTGACCGTCTTTCTAGGGATGGTATGCAGTGGAGAAGTTAAGTTTTGTCCCCATTGATTCATGCAAGCTCTTCCAGAAGTGGGAGGTGAAACTTTGATCCCTATCTGACACAATGGATATTGGTACTTCATGTAACCGCACCACATGTGCTATGTAGAGTCTCGCTATTTCCTCCATGCTTGGCTTAAATCGGATTGAGATAAAGTGGCTGACTTTTGTCATTCGATCCACAATTACCCAAACAACATCTTTACCGCTCCTTGTGGGTGGAAATCCAGTCACAAAGTCCATTGTGATTTTCTCAAACTTCCATTCTGGTAAAGGTAGTGGTTGCAGGAGTCCAGCTGGGGCACGATGTTCAAGCTTTATCTTTTGCCATATTAGACACGATTGAACAAGCTCTGCAACTTCTCGTTTCTTCCCTGGACACCAAAAGTGTGGTTTGATGGTATTATACATTTTTGTTGTCCCCGGGTGCATGGCATAAAGTTAGGAGTGTGCTTCCTCCAAGATATCCCTTTTTATTTCCTTCACTTTTGGTACCCACATTCGTCCATTCATCTTGACTATTCCATCTTCCAACACATACGCATTGTCACTGCCTGCTTCGATATCCTCTAGTGCCTTTATGCACTATGAGTCTTCTAATTATCCCATCTTGATTCGATCATGCAACATCGGTCGAATACTTAGATGTGCAACCAGGGTGGTGATATCTTCAACTTGCATCTCCACACCCAGGCCACTCATCTTCACCAGAGTTGGCATTTTTTCTCGCCGACTCAAAGCAACAACATTCGCCTTACCACGATGGTAATCGATGGTGCAGTCATAGTCTTTGAGTATCTCTACCCATCGCCTTTGTCTACCATTCAACTCTTTTTGATCCATAAGGTATTTCAAACTTTTGTGGTCGGTCATAATTTTGAAGGTCTCACCATAAAGATAATGCCTCCACAATTTTAACGCAAACACCACTGCTGCTAATTCAAGATCATGAGTTGGGTAGTTCACTTCATGTGGCCTCAATTGTCTCGATGCATAGGCAATTACTTTCCAATTTAGCATCAGTACGCAACCCAAGCCTTGATACGAAGCATCACTATAAACGACATACTCCCCTCCTTCTACTAGCAATATCAGTATAGGAGCAGAAGTTTTCATTTAAGTTCTTCGAAACTCTTCTGGCATTCTTCCGACCAGACATATCGGGTTTCTTTCCTCAACAACTTTGTCAGTGGTGAGGCTATTTTGGAGAAACCTTCCACAAATCAACGATAGTAGCCTGCCAATCCCAGAAAGCTACGCAATTGTGGTACACAAATGGATAATTATTCAATCGCAAGCATAATTTCACATAACTCATAGCATGATATCACGTCATGAATTATTGAAATAATAACAACGAAGTCTCAAGGAATTTCACGATTTGTAGGGATCAATTACAAAGTCGTAAATTCCAAATACTCGATTATGAATAATCCAATTTTACTCGAGTATCAAAATCATAATAACGACATTCTCCATTTTATCTTCATTAAATCCTCAGCTATGTTCCAATATTAAACACATAGCACGTAGTAAAACACCGCCTATTCACCGCATGATTCACACACCTTATTTATGACGTAAATCAACTCTGCACAGCTGCTGTAAAAATTCCAATGCTCCGTGATAAAATTCTTCTCGTCTCTACGATCCTGTAGGCGAAAACGCTTCGTCGTTTGGACGTCAAATGAACGAATTACAGCCAAAATATGAATTTTGTCAGTTCTTGAAATTCCAAGTACTGTATATGAAATTTTCCTGTCTAACGGGTCGTTGGCCCTTGCTATGGAAAATTGCGAGGATCGTTTCTCCCTCGTCCGACGTCGAAAATTGATTCTGTCGATACGTACATGCGCCTGGGATCGCCCTCTTCGCAACGGTACCAACCACTCGAAGAATGGTTGAGGTCGGAGTTGACGTCGTCGCCGTCACGGGATTCTGATGAAACTCCGGTGAGGCTCCGATAAGGCTTCAACGATGCTTCTGGCTTCGTGGGAGACCACCCCTGACCCTTATGGCGACCTCCCAAACACCAGAACCCTCAACACTTCTCTCCCTATTTTTTTTCCTTGTGTTGAGCTTCGTTCTCACTATATATAGCTTTCCGGTGGCGTATTTATTCAATGGACGATCATACAGTTGGGAGGCATTAATTTCAATTCAGTCCCTTGTGCTAGTACAACTCATGGAACGGTGGATCTTTGAGATTATTTATACAAGACATATATGCTAGAGGACGTGGTCCTCTTCCTTCCTTACGTTTGCATATATAAAAAATGATGTTGTTGTCCATTTGCTTTTAACCCATCATGGGTTCCATCAATTTGTGGACAGAGACCACGTACAAGGAACTTCGTTCCTTTCTTCAGAATCTTATCTCGTCAGATAGTCAATAAATCACATTTACTATGACACTTACAAACAACTAGTGTGCAGCCCAACTGGTAAATGGTGATGATTTTCTAGTTTTGGTCTCTGGTTCGAACGTTGACCAAGACAATATATTTTTATACTCTTTTCATGTTAGAGGCCACTTCCACCATTTAGATCATAACTTTTTTGTTTGATACCAGAATCTATCCGTGTTTGAACTCACGCGTTCGTATTCTCGCCCTCTACCATACTCTATCCACTCAATATTTATTCTCTAGATTTTTCAAGTCTTTAATTGACGAGTACTCATAGTTCTTCCAAAGCGGTAGAATTCATTCCAACTATTGTTGGTGTTCTTTGTTCCAACGTCGAAAAGGTTTGATGTGAGATTTAACCTAGATACAGGATGTTACAGCTGGGATACAACAGTTAATTTCACAGTTTTATTCCATCTCTAGCCTTAAATGTAACGCTCAAAAGTGCCCATTGTTATTTGGGCGTGCCACTCGTCTCTGGAAAACTGAATTCTATTGATTGTGATTGTCTTGTTGATAATATCACTAAACGGATCTAGACTTGGCAAGCTAGAACCCTGAGTTACGCAGGGAAACTACAATTAATTTATTCAGTTATTACTAGTGTATTCCATTATTGGATGTCTATCTTTCTGCTTCCTTTAAAGGTGCTCAAACTGATAGAGGATGCTTGTAATAAATTCTTGTGGGGAGTTGATGGTAGGAAGATAAAGAAAGCTCTTGTATCTTGGTCTAAGGTTTCTTTATCAAGGCAGAAGGATGGATTAGGGATTCGGGACTTTAAGACATGGAATAGGGCGTGTGTTATCATGCATTTGTGGAATCTATTAGCTGAAGCAGGGTCTCTTTGGGTGGCATGGATGAGGAAGTACAGGGTGAAAGGAAGGAGTATTTGGGCCATTCCACCTATCACAGTTAGCACTTGGGTTTGGAGGAAGATCCTGAAGTGTAGGGTCTTGGCGCAACAGCTTATAACAGAAGCAGGGGAGTTATTGGAATGGGACGGGGCTGTTCTTGCTCGATATTCAGTCAAGCAGGTATGGGCTTCCATTCGGGTTCCTAGGCTAACTATGTCATGGTTTTCTATTGTATGGACCAAGCCAATTTTCCCCAAGCACTGTGTGATTCTCTGGTTGGTAATATTGGA